GAACTCCTTTGCTCAGAACTTTCCTCAACAACCTTCTTCACTATCCTCTTCCTCTTACCAACATCCCAAAAAGACTCATTTAAGCATCCACCAAGAATATCTCGTATCATGTTATCAAGCTTCTTATCTTTTTTTTTTCTCCTGTCCATGGAGGATATATCTCCTCCAAAAGCTTCACCACCAGCTGTTTAACACGAACCTACAAACAACGCAACCTTGTTATCAAACAAATCTACCACGGTAATCAAACAAGTCTACCATAACATATAAATAAGTCTACCATAACACAACTAATTATTACTCTTGCAAACAAGTCTACCACCACTACAGATAAATAAGTCTACCACAACATATAAATAAGTCTACCACAATAGAGAATTAAGTCTACCATAACACAACTACTACTATAAACTAGTAATTATCATGTTGTAAAATGTGTACCTTTCCATTAGTTTTCTTATCCTCCTCCAAAACCCTCTCCAAGTTGTATCTAGAGCGGCTTGAACCCCAATTTAGGAGAAGAATTGGCTTCTTTTTTATTCCCAAATTTTTCTCCTAGTATAGGAACCGACTCATATACCCAGACAAGCAATACATGCGCACACCCATGAGTTGTCAACTTTCCACTCCCCAAGGATGCAATATTTATCGAATGCACTAGCTCCCTAAAGCACACACGGCCCCATGTATACCTCTCAAATGCTTCTAGATTCAAACACTCTTTTCGCAGCCATGAGAGGGATTCTACTACTACGAGCAAACTCATATATTCCAACGTGCAAGACAAAGAGCAATGCTACCATTTTTCTCTTCTCATAACTCCATGTCCTGTAAAAGTCAAAAACAGCAATCAACTCGTCCCAACTAGGTGCAAGACCTACATCAACCTTCATGTCCTTCCACAAATAAGTGTGGTCAACATCCAATATATCTTTATCATAAAATGGGTCACACTTTAGCGTAGTGATCTCCGCAAACTCATGTAGAGAAAACCTCATCGGACGACCACCAACCAAAACCCAAATCTCATTCATCGTATCAATGGTCAATTGATTCCCAAGGATATGTTGGATAGGCTTCGCAGTCCATATCATCTTCGATAAAGCAAGCTTTAGAATCACTCCAACACCATGATTATTCATGATGTCATTGAAAACCTCTTCCCCAACAGCTTCAAGCATCTTATCAAAGTCACCCAACTTGCAATTGTGATGCAAGCTTCTTTCCATCGATGGTGATTTTCGGATCAATCTCTAGGGATACTCAAGTGGCACAATAGAAGACGATATTTCTGTACAATAAGATAAATCATGTCAGCATTCAGAGAGAAATAAATCAACAGAAATAAATCTACCATGATGAAGAGAAATAAATCTACCATCAAGTAAAATAAATCTACTATGAAGAGTATTAAATCTACCATCAAGTAAAATAAATCTACCATGAAGAGAATTAAATCTACCATGAAGAGAAATAACTCTACCATCAAACATTTCAATTTTAAAACTCATTCCTAGCAAATCTACCATCAAACGATAACAAATCTACCACCAAGTACAGTGTCCAAAGATACAATCAAAACAAACAAGGGCCAACAAACAATGAAACTTATAATCCAATCTTAACTCATCAAGTCTGTCATTATACTTTAACAAATCTACCAAAACTATGATAACAAATCTACCACAACTATGATAACAAATCTACCACAAAAATTCAATCTCTAAACATAATATCAAATTCTCTCACTAGAACCGTAGATTTCGCCGTCCCGAATCTGAAGGAAACACGATTTCGAATACAAATCTGCGAAATATATTGAAGATTTTAGGGTGTCGACATTTTTAGAACAATGCAACAACCCAAATGAAAACAAAAATCCATTTACCTGTTCTACGAACAACCAACAACAAACCCTAAACTCGCCGGAAGTTTCCGTCGACGTCTCGCCGAAATTCTAAAATCGTCGAAGAAACATATTGTCACCGTCGTTCAAAATCGGAAAAAGAAAGTAAATAAACCACAGACGAACATCAGAAAACTTACCGTTAAACCGCCGTCGTTCTCCTCATTCTCTCCGAAATCGCCGCTGTCGCGAGGAGCCGGAGAAGAAGAAGATTTCTGAGAAGAAGAAGAGTCGCACTCGTG